GGGACTCACGTCCCTTCCCCCGGGGCTCGGTCCGGACCGGGCCCGAGAGCCCAGCCGGCCTCCGCCCGAACCCTAAACCCTAAACCCTAAACCCTAAACCCTAAACCCTAAACCCTAAACCCTAAACCCTAAACCCTAAACCCTAAACCCTACCCCTATCGCATTGAACTCCTGATTGTGCTCGAAATAAAAGTCCTTCAATGCGCTCTTTTATCCTTGTAATGCGCCAACAGACAACGTCTGATGTTTGACATTGTTGGCAGTGGAGCTCGATGCTTCCTCTACCATCTGCTCACCCTCATCGGAGTCACTCTCGTCGCTACTGTCGTCATCGGCGTCTATGTCGCCATGTTGCCCTCGCCTCCTCTTCCTTCTCTTTGTCATACCGGTACTTCTTGTCAAATAGCCGAACAATCCCTTAACTGCCATCCATGAAAGTGGTAAATTCAATTGTCCAGACTCATTCAAAGCGTTTAAGTATATTTCATACTCGTTGGACTCGCCTGCTCTTTGAGCTCTTTGAGCGCGCTTCGCTTTCTTTCGGAGGATATCCGACGACGAGTTTTAGAATTTTGTAACGATATACCTTCTGAGTGCTCTCAGCGATTCGTTTGTTCCTCATCGCATCATACGCATGTATATCTCGGTCTGTTCTGTTAGTAGACACATCCCTCGTGAAAGAGGCTACACTACTTGCATCAATGATTGTCCGCTGTCTCTGTCCCCAGACGCAATCCATTTTCGGTCAGTGGGGTGGTTTTACGTTCAACTGTTCGCATACACCTACAATACTTTACTTAACTTTTTCCTGGTACAAATTATTTCAGCGCAATCTTTGACGCACGTATCCTAGGAACGTCATGTTAGACTTGTATACTACCCCTAAAAGGACAGCAACAGATATATAGGGATTGCGCTATAAAAATTAATTGTGCAATTTGCTCCCAGGCCATCGGGACAACTTCTGATGAGGATCGGGCCGAAAGCGAAGGCAATGCGCAGGGTAGCAGAAAGACGGTTGAACTCTGACATTCCCAGACATCGTTAGATGAAGTAGCTCATATCGCGTAGTTTCAAGGTTGTTACAACACATATTTTTATGGTCGTTACACCACATAGTTGTATTATCGTTGGTCATCCCATAATGTTTGGTTTGATGTTTCTGCAGGACTAGAAATTCACAGGATGTCGAAACAAGATCGAGACACACTTCGAATGCTCAAAGCCATCGGGCAGGTCACAGCGATGTTTTGTTACAGCAAGACAGTGATACTTATTGAAACCCTTTACAGAGTGATGAGACGAAATGGTTTACATGCTCACTGCTTGGCAGAAGAGCAGCCAGCCCAACAGTGACAATTGGATCACGGGTAACAGCTCTGGAACATGTGCCGTCGCCCGAGGGACTCCAGCGTCCACACTCATGCCACGCAGACATTGCGGCAGCGAGCGTCTCCTCCTCAAAAAGGTCTGAGCCTCTTGGAAACCTCGCTTCCTTATTTGCCTGCCAGCAGCACGTGGCACGGGCTCGACGACGAAGCCTTGCGTGCACTATGGTGGCAGTTTCTTGGGGAGAACATTCAGCGAAGGCTCTCAAGAGCCAGAAACCTCGTGGAGAAGACAAAAACACCTCGTCAAGAAGAAATACTTTCACGAACTCATTCCTCTCCCTTGTTGCATAGATTCTCTTCTCGCCCCCGAGATGATGGCTTCAAGCGATGTGCCAGTGAGAGCATAGTTAATCCTCAGGAAAACGATGGGAGGAGGGAGGGCTTCCTTGATAGATACTCACGAAATTTGAACCTCGATATGCAATCAGATCATGTGACCCTCGAGCCTCGCACACGTTTCAAACAGAAACTTGATAGGCAAAGAGAAGAGGAACAGCTGCAGTACCGAGATATCATATCAATGCTTGTTTCTGCTCAAATATCCTCCCGCCAGAAGTCAGTAAGCAAACTGAACTTGAGCAGGAAAGGATTCGAAGTGCTTCCGTGCGAGGTAAATGAGTTGACATTTAAAGACTCTGTTTAACCTGTACTTGCAAGGCTTGGTTGCTGATGCCTCCAGTTGTTGACTTGAATTGTTCGCATAACTTGCTGCACTCTATTCCAGAAGCCATCGAGAGATGGTTGTGTTTCACAATTATTTGGGTGCGGTTGAAATGCATATCAGGAGTTCAATCATAAAGCTAAGGTTGGATAACAACCGGCTTGAACGCATTTCAGATGGTACACTCTTGGTCTCTACACTTTTGCGTTGACTCAATACAGGAATCCGATATTGTACCAACTTGAGAGAGTTGAACTTGTCGTCCAATCGGTAATTCTGTGCTAGAATGTGATACAACTGTAACGACCTGGCAGCTTGTCGGACTTGCCTGAAACGGTGACTGATTGATTGATTGTTCTTCTGCATAGATCTACGTTGTATGATGCTTGATTGATTGGGGCATTACAGATCTCCTTCCTCACGAATCTCACACAAATACAGTTGAATTCAAACAAATTCGATCACTTGCCCGAGTCCATTGCATTCTGCTTCAATCTACGAAAGGTACTCAGTTTTCCAGTATGACATGTCAATTAAGAGGCAACCTCTAAGGTCTCCGCAAGAGACTGCATACTTTGCAGAGGTTTGCATCCTATTGGATCCCTGCACAATCTCGTTGAACTTTCTGTGAGATCCTTTCGATCCTTTTGCCTCCCTTGCGTCCACTTACCTGCTCTTTGTGAATTCAGCTCATTCGTAACCCCAATCTTTTCTTTCTTCCCATCGAGCTTGGATATTGCACGCAGCTTTCTATGCTAGAAGTGGACGATATTGTGAATTTCCCTTCTCCGGAGGTCTCAATGCCCTGTTATTGAGATGCGTTTGGTGCTGCATTCGAAAGTCATAATTCTCAAGGACGTACATAATTTCTACTACTTGCTTTTATGATCTGTCTTTTGTGAATGTGGAGTGTAAGATGAAATATTTGTGACTTGTGGGTTGGTGTCAGTTGAGAAGAAAAGGAATTGAACATGTCAAACAAGATCTTCAATACTTTCTTACAGTCAGAAAAACGCATGACTGCAGTGTTGCATCATCGGACATCCAATTGTATGCCTGGTTTATGATCAACTCGATGTCTAAAGTCAATTTCACAGTCTTGGTGATCCGATTTGCTTTGAAGCTCATCTCACTCAATTGAACATCTCCTTCAACCGCATTAGCAGGCGAGGCAATATGACGATGAGACTGTCTGATTCTGTTGCAGACTTCCGCCTGCTATCTCTCATCTCACGAGCTTGAGGTCTTTGACAGCTTCATCGAATGCCATCAGTTTTCTTCCCGAACAGGTCTCGTTCTTCCTTGAGGGGGCTCTGCTTCATTCTCTCTCTATACAGATAGGCGGCTTGCTTCGACTGGAGCATCTACACCTTGACAACAACAGCTTGCGATCTCTTCCTTCTTCCCTTGGCAACATCACTACCATTCGCGTTCTGAACCTGAGATGCAATGATCTTGGTCTGTCTATCTCAGAAGATTTCAGCCGCACAAACTCTCTCGAAACAAATGTTTCGCAGCCTCCGATCAGCTACGACGACGCGTCCTTTCCTCTTCCTGTGTCGATGCGAAGACTGAAGGTAGCAAATCCGAAGACATGTGGGCCCTTGTAAGATATCCAACTGTTGCTGCAGCATCTTGAAAATCTTGTTCTTGACTCAAATCCTCATCTGCATCAGCCTCCTAAGGACGTACAGCAGGATAGTAAGGACGCATCTCTTTTGCGACTCATTCTTCTGCAGGCTGGCGCACAAGCTGTGGTGAAGTATCTTGAAGGAGTAAACCAAGTTAGGGAAGGATCAAGCGTAAGTGTTTCCTACCCACACTCTCCTCTTCTTTCCTCCACTCCCTTGTTCTTGACTCCGTCTCGTGCTTTTCTATCTTGCCAACCAGATCGACGTCAGCGAGGCTGGTTTAAACTATTTTCCACGATTTGTCATCGACTGGCGTTTAGTTCGCAAGGGAGCAGCAAAAGAGGGAGATGCTGAAACAGGAGGGAGCAGCGAAGATATACTCCTGCTTCTCAACCTAGACGGAAACAATCTCCGAGCTCTTCCGGAAGCTGATTGCGGGCAATACACCGCGTCAGTAAGACCAGCTGGACAGAAACAAAAGTCAGACGCCTCTGGATCTCCCTCCCTCATATCATCGGTCAAGCCGTCAAACTCGAACAAAGTCGCTCACAAGGAAGGGCTTTTTTCTCACAGAGAAGGATTTGGTTTTGTCCTTCAGGTCGACTTCTGTTCTGCATCTGTTGCTCGTTCATTCTTCGATGGGCTTACAGACTATTGCGGGAGGCATGAGGGCCCTGGAGACTGTCAGGCATCTCAGCGCGGCAGGGAACAAGCTCGTCTCCGTTCCTCCCTCCCTTTCCTGCTTGACGGTCCATCGGGATTCTCCTGCTTGACCACAAGTCACCTTGCTCCTCAGGCTCTACAGCATCTAAACCTCGCCAACAACCTCCTGGAAACTTGGCAACAGACAGAAACGGAGAGTCTTCTGCCTTGCCTGAGGTAGTTCCTAAACGCTCGACTCCATTCCCCTTATCATCATCATCATCATCATCATCATCATCGGCATCAATATCAGTATCAGCATCATCATCGGCATCATCAGCGGCATCAGCATCACGTCACCTCCACCAACCCCACCACTTTCTTCATCATCATCTTGTGTTTTCTTACACATCTGCACTTTCCTCTTTCTCACTTTTTCGTTCAGTTTCTGTTCTCTCTCAGAGAATCAACTTCGTAGGATTCCTGTTGAGATATCAAAACTCACAAGCCTGACTCAGCTGGAGCTTGACAGCAACTTCATCGATCATCTTCCATCATGGATTTCCTCACTTTCTTTCCTTTCTATCCTCTCTCTCAACTCCAACGAACTCTCTTCCTTGCCTGACCAGGTCACATCTCTTCATCAACTTCGCGTTCTTCGGCTGAGCGCCAACAAGTTTTCTGTCTTTCCTCCTGTGCTTTGTACCTTGTCAAAGCTTGAGCTTCTTCGCCTCTCGTCAAACTTCCTCGTCTCCCTGCCCCGCGAAATTTTCAAGATGAAATCTCTCCGAGAGCTTTCCCTCAACAACAATGACCTTGCTGAGCTTCCCACTTCCATCAGTCTAATGCCAGCTCTGCTTCAGCTGAGTTTGCGGGTCTGTTGATAATACTTTTTTCTCCCTAGCTTCTTGTTTTGCTTACAATTATGTCAGGATAATCGTCAAGTTGCTGAGAAATTTCCAGCAGGGCTCTTGCAGCAGGTGAATAGATTGCCCTTCTTTACCACTTCCTGTGGTTGCATCCGTTATTCTCACCTCTGTCTGCTGTTGTGTCGGTTTGGAATCCCTATCTTGCGAGTGTTTCCCAGCTCCTTGTCTGTCCTCTTGATCTTCTGCTGAAGCTCCGGCAGTCTCTCAACAACGTCAAGCTGTATCTCAGAAGGATCGAGCAAGCTGGGCAGCAGCTGGACCTGTCGGGGCTAATGCTCCAGGCGCTTCCTTCCATCCTCCGCATAGGCATCGCACACACGCTGAGAGAGCTTGTGCTGGCAGACAACCAGCTCAGCGACCTTCCTCTCGACCTCTCCGCCCTCCACTCGCTCGAGACTCTTGACTTGCGACAGAATCGCTTCCTTCGCATCCCCGACGTTGTTTTCTCTCTCCTCGTTCTCAAGGTCCTCAATCTCCAAGACAACCCCTTGCAGAACCTTCCAGAAGAAATCCTGCATGCCGGCTCGGACGCCATCTTCTCCTACTCCCGCAGAGTGCGAGCTAGTCACAGGTCTGGCCTGCTGGACCTTCGTCAGCTGGGGTTGTCCAGTTTGCCCAGGCAGATCTTTTCCTTGTCCCATGTGGAGGACTTGGACTTGTCTGAAAACTCCATCAGAAGCCTGCCGGACCAACTCTGCTGGCTCCTCCCAAACCTCACGCGGCTGAGCTTGAGGAAGAACGAGTTGCAGGCGCCGCTTCCTCTCTTCCTCGGACTTCTCTCAGCCCTTACCAGCCTAGACCTAGCACAGAACAAGCTCTCCTCCCTTCCTCTCGCCATCGCTCAGCTCACCCGCCTAAAGACCCTCGGGCACGCGGGAAATCCGCTGAGGATGCCAACGGCAGCAGCGCTCGCCTCTGGCCTCCCCAACGTGTTCAAACTCTTCGGGCAGCTGGTGGCCAAGGGCGTGGGGATGAGTCAGACGCGGCACGTGCGGCTGGAGGAGGGGATGCAGTCGCTTGATCGGCTCAGTCTGGCTCCCTACGCCAAGCCCGAGCACCATGAATGCGTGCTCATACAGCAGGGACGTCGGAGAGGCTGCAGTCTTGAGGACGCGGTGCAGGAGGCGCAGGCTGGGGCGATGATCCTCTTACGCCCGGGGAGGTACAGGCAGCCGCTTCTGCTCCAGACGGATGGGGTGACGGTGGCAGGAGACGGAGGCTGCGAGGAATGCGTCATATGCTTCGGGAAAGAGCATCCCAAGGAGAATCCAGGAGGAGAGGAAGGGACCAGCTCTGTTTTCTCGACCATCATCAGCAAGGGAAGCGGCATCTGCCTCTACAACCTGACGGTCGAATGGGATGGGGCGGACTCAGTGATGTTTCCTCACGGTGTCGCACAAGACTCAGCAGCTGTTTTGGTGCTGCGAGGAGATCTTGCGCTTGTCAATTGTGTCGTTCATAACCCGAGAGGAGCAGGTGTGCTTCGCTACTTGCGAAGAAAGACATATGGGAAGTAGATCAGTAGAATCTACTTCCCATATGTCCTACTTTCATTTTCTCCTTCCCTTTGGCTTCTTTGCTCTGCAATCTTTTCTTCAATTGTCCATGTTCTCTTCCAACTTCCATGTCTCTCCTCATTTATCCTTTCTCTGCATGCTTCCTTTATTTGCCTCTCGTTCTCCTGTCATCTTTTCTCGACTCTCTCTCAATCATCTCGTCTCAGGCGTCATTCTACGTCGGGCTGCAAAAGCAAAGATCTCAGCCTGCAGGTTTGCATCCTCGGGGACAACGGGGATCGTCATAGAAGAAGAGGTGAGTCATCAAGGAGGATAGAGAAGTGGAGGCGGCCCCAAGGGAGAGGGGAGCGAGGGGAGAAAGATATCAGAGTCTGATAGCCTGCCAGGTTTCAGCAGAGGTTCGATTTTGTGATATCCTCAAGTCAAAGAAATGTGCAATCCTGTACATGCGAGCATCGAATCCTCTTATTGAAGGGAACAGGTCATCTAGTGTCATCCCCTTGAATTCAATCGGGACTCTTCTCTGCTCATCGTTCTCGTTGTGTTTTCTCTTTCTCTCCTTGTCGTCGTCTATTGTTTCCTCTCTCTTTTGCTAGCTCTCCTTATCTTGTTTGTATTTTGGAACCCTCCTGTTCGATTCTTGTGTCAAAGGCCTCGTTTGCTCTGTATACATACCATTTCGTTTGTTTCCTCCATACAGTCTTGATTACTTCCTTTTACATTCACAGTGTTCTCTTCACCGACCTTTTCTTGACTCTTCTTATATCCTTTCAGGATCGTTCACTCGGGCAGTAGCGGCATCCTTGCTGCTTGCTCAAGCCTTGGCATTATCAAGAGCAACGACATAGTGGCAAGCAAGAGAGCGGGAGGTGGGTGAACGATGAAGCAGGTGTTTGGTTTTCAGCTTACATGTTCTTGCTGCCTTCAGTTGAGCTTCAAGACGGATCGGACCCGGTAGTTCAGCAGAACAAGATCTATCAGAATATGTTTGGTGAGATCGCTTGTGCTACTTTTCTGATTGAATGGCTGCCATTCCAAGTCAAATGCTCTCTGCCTGTCATATGATGCTTGTGGCCCGGCCAGGTCTCATTCTTTCAGCCTCTCGAGGTAAAATTTTAGACAACGTCATCAACGAGTCAAAATTTGCTGCTGTCTCCATCTTGAAGAAGGTACTTTTCTCTTTCTTGTCTTGTACCATTCAGGTTGTTCGGTTTCTTGTCTTTCTCATCTGTCGTATCTGTCAATTCTTTCCTTGTCTTATCTTTGCAACTGATCTCCGTATCAGACATGTACAGAGTTAACGCTGAATCGGATCAAAGGAGAGCAGAAGGCGACAGGAATGATGGTGATGCATGCGAATGCTTACCTGCAACATTGACCTTCGACATGCATTCATCACTTTGCTTCCTTCAATCATTCATCACATCATCATAATCGATGAACATATCACCTCTCTGCTTCTTCTCCTGCTCCTGATCTTTTGCCTGGCTCATGCAAGTATTGTGTCAGGTGAGCGGAGGCAGCAAGGTCTGGATACGTCAGCAGGAGCTACAGGGAGTGAGAAAGGGGATTGTCATCAGCGAGGCTTCAGAGGTTTCTCTCTACGACTCCCGCATCTTTCACCTCTCCTCCGACGCTGTTGCGATAAGTGGCGAGGGTAAGAACTTCTCCTCATCCTGCCCCTCTTCCTCCCTATGGACTCCATTAACAGCCACATGCAAACAATAATTGAATGCTTATTTTGTCCTTGTGGTGTTGACAGCATCTCACACTTTGAATACGCAGACAGCAAACTTATTGCGTCTGGGAATGAATGCTTTGGCAACCCGGGAATAGGGGTGATTCCTTGAAATTTTCATTTTCCCTCCTTCCTCCTTCCTCCTTCATCTCCTTTTTCTTCCTCTTCCTCCTTCTCTGCTTCCCTACTCGCAACGCAGACTTAATCGGGCTCGTCGGGTGTTCACTTGACTCTCTGGTAGTTTCACATCACCCGAGGAGCATCCGCCAAACTTCTGGTCCCTCCCTCCCTCTCTCCCATCCTCCCCTCCGTTCACTCATTGCAGGACAACAAGATCAACTTCAACAACGGCGTTGGCTTGCTTGTCGACGAAGACTGCACCGGATCCATGGCAAGAAATGAGGTCATCATTCCCTTGCTCTTCTCCTTGAAATGATGGTGGTTTCATGGCCTCCAATGTTTCAAACCTCCCCCCTTTTCATGTTTTGACCGTTCCATCGTCGAATAACTTCTCTTGTCAAACTATCTTGCACGTTCGTTTCAAAGCATCGATTTCCATCAATTTCTATCTCACTCAATCTCTTCAATCCCTTTGCTTCATTCCTTATCGAAGTCACAGATTCATGATAATGCTGAAGGCGACATTCTCGTCTATGCTCCCGACAGGTACGAGCCAAGCTGTCATGCTGAGCTGAGTGCCTGGCAGACTTTTCATTAAAGAACTTTGACAAGCTGAGAAGGATTGGCAGCTTGGGTCGGGGGTGTGTCAGGTGGGGATGGAAGTGAGGTTGAGTCTGTCAGAGAGGGTCTGGTAGTCCCACGAGAAGGGCATGTGCGCCTGAAGGTTCCAGCTGGAGATGTCCGACGTCCTACTGGATGTCAACAAGGTCTTAGATCTCTTCCTCTCACCTCCATGCGTCGCTGTACAGGAAGAGCTGCCGCCGCTGCCTCATCGTTTGTTTGGCGTTCTCGTCGATGACTTTGAGCAAGTCTGCGTTGCCACATCAAATACTCAGAGACGAGGTAGAACAAGGAGGAGGGTGTGATAGGATCAGGAGGAGGCAGTTGACCGAGGGAATATGAGAGGCGGCAGACCTCGTGGAAGGTAATCAACGACTAAGTAGACATACGTCCGAGATGTTGCGGTCGTGCTTCGAACGTCTGATTGCTTCCTCTCTAACTCCAACTTCTCCTCTGCCAACACTCATCAGTCCCACGTGATAGAGAGAGGCCGCTCACTGCCTTGTTTCCATCTCTTCATGCTTGAGACCAAACCTCCTTTGTCCTTTTCCTTCGCTTCTAGACGCGTCTCCAAGTCCTTCACCTTGACCAGCTTTGAGCGCAAGCAGAGCAATAAATGACGCATCATACAACAAGCTCGATCCTCTTCAACCTCTCCTCCACGCTTTCCACAGAATCATAACTTCCTGATCGTGTGTCCTTCCCCTCTCTGAGAATTCTCTCTTGTACAGATTGAAGGAGTTGTTTTTTCTCCTGCAGCCTGTCCGCCAGCAAACTTCCGAGCCGATCAATCTGCAGTGATCATAAGCAAGAGCGAGAGAGCAGCCAGCACCACTCACTTCTTTGTCGAGCTTCTCGAGCTTTTCTGTATCCCACACCTCGCGGTTGCGAGCAGCGACGGCGACGCTGGTCGGACTGACGTCGCGCATCTTCATGAGAAGCTGTCAAGCAAACTAAGATGCCAAGACAACTGACCTCTGCTATCACAAGCCGCTCTTCCACCATGTTCTGAAGCATATGGTTATGCTTGATGCAAGCAATGTAAAAAATGCTCACTGTGTTTGGATCTACTGAAGGAAAGTAGTTGTTCTCCATCAGGAACTTGGCTGTACAACACATGGCACTCAAGTGATCAACTGTGTTGTGGCATCCTAACCAAAACCCTCACCAGCAGCTCGCGCAGAAACGATAGCAGGCTCGTTCTCTTTCACAGAAAGCCACAACTAGCACAAGTCATTTCACGCGTGAAGAACTCCAGGCGCACCATCTCTGTGATAGGAATCGAGACTTCATAGCTCGCTGCCTGCGGTCTGAAATTCTTTGTGGGTGAAGGAACGATGGGTATCCTGCTCAGCAGTCTTCACTAACCGCACCGCATCCGGCTTCGACACTTGCCAGTTCCCCAGACTGTCCTGGTAGGTTTCTATAAGGAAAGGAAAGGGATCCGAATCTTGGGTGACCTGCAACAGCCATCAGTGACTCCCTGGCGACTTGCAACACTCGATGATTCACCTCAACAATCAAGAAGAATCTGGGTTCTATTCCATACACCACGCTTGGCGAATGCTTTGATGCCGACATCAGTCGCTGAACATAGAAACGTCACAACAAGCAACCAGGCCAAGGAGTCGGGCACCTCAAACTGAGTGAACTGATTGAAGAAAGGAATGCGATTGCCAGTCAAAGGGTCAAACATGATTCCGATGTTCATCAAAGCAATCTTGATCGAAAAACGAGTCAGCACACCAACAGGCAGCTTGTCGTCCTCACCACATACTGTGCTGCACTAGTAGCAACCGATACTTCTGCGTTGTCGCTGACATGCTTCCATAACGGAACATTCTACCAAGGTTGTCGCTCAACCACGTGCGAGCAGTAATCATTCTCACCTGCGCCTCGCATGCAATCGACGCTAGAAGCAGGACAAGCAAAGGAGGCAGTCCTTTGGTAAACACTTTGCTCGCCTCAAGCTCTCTCCACATCCTCATCCTCATTCTCATCTTTTTCCTCCTCCTCCTCCTCTTCCTCTATACCTCCATCTTACGTTTCTTCCCTCCTCCCATTGAAGCGATATAACGGACTAGTCAAAATTGACAACTTTATCTGAGGCAGACCCGTGTAAATGCCCCTATTTCGGGAGTCACTACAATGCAGCGCTGCGAACCCCGACATTATCCTCTAGCTGGGGAGGGGAGGAGGGAAGAGAGAGGAAGGAAGGAGGAATGAGAAACATGACACATCACCCGATACATGATGCAGCAAGCTAGGTCGACCTTCAGACCAAAATGGTCTGAACCAACTTGGTCTGAATAGCGATAAAGACAAGGAGGCGTGGCATGAAATAGTTTGTAGAAATGACTGTAAGAAAAAAATGTTCTGTAGCAGAGAACAAAGAAACTACATTAATTTGTGAGAAAAGTAGAAGGGAACAAGCTAGCTGTACAAAGCTCTCAAAGAGAAACATATAGTTTGAGTTGAACACAACGTGCAAGAAAGGTGTTCTCAGCTGATTTTAACTTGCGCTATCCAGATGTTCAAAATGGCTCGCATGATTCAGTCTCTTGAATGGGAGGTTTCCTGCCATCAGACTGTAAGTCGTGTTGTTTTGTTCTCCTCCTCCTCTTATCTTCGTTACAGCCTGGAGAGTCTGGCGAATGCAATGCCGAAGACGCAGCAGAAGCAATCAGCACAGGTGCAATACGCTTGAGGGTTGAGGTTGCTTCATGCTCTTAGACAAAGGCTTGCTCCTTCGCTCCTTTGCTGCTATTTCACAACCTCTCACGACACTTGCGTCCTTCAGCTCCTCCCACACAATGATCAATACAGCCTCCACCTCCGCCTCCTCCTGATCATCATCATCGTATGATCATCATTATCTCTTTCATCATCATCATCATCACCACCACCATCACCACCAACATCATATCACCGCCACTATCATCAACCTTAGGTTTCATTCATTCTTAGTCTCTGACCATTTTCGTCAAGGATATGTTAACGATCAGGGTTCTTGGCCCACCCGCGCTGATCCCAAGCAGGTAAGACAGGCACATGTCAGTAGTGAGGAAAGAAGAGAAGGGGGGGGGAGGAGAGTGCGATCAAGAAGAGGTTGATGGAAGAGCTGCACAAGTACCAGGAGAGTGCGACAGCTCAAGTGAATCGATCCTGCAGTTTACCGTCAGCTACGTTGATCCTCCTTCTGGCGGAGGAAGCTACGTCGTTGATACTTCTGCCAACTAAGCGCTGGATCCTTGCACCTTCCTCCTTCTCCTCCTCCTCTCTCCGTTCTGCTGTTCGTCTTGACGCTTCGTCTCTTCTTACTTCTGCATCTCCTGTGAAGTGAGACAGGTAGGTTGCGGATGTCGGAGAAGACGATGAGGGAGAGGAGGCGAAGGGTGAAGAGTGAAAAAGTTGTCACGTTTCTTGAGGATGAAATTGTATTGCACAAACATGACGATGACGACTAATAACTCATTTACACCGTTGGCCTCTCCCCCCGTCCTCCTCCTGTACACCCGCTGTCCTCCTTCATTGTTCCTGCTGCTTCAGAATCGCGCACGAGTCCGTAGCCTTTCCTTCCTCCATCACAACCTCGTTCCTGCCTCAGCGTCAGCCTCGTACCAGCCCCGATAAAAGTCACCTCTTCCTCTTGAACTTGGGCAGCACTCCGTCCAGCCATGACGAGAGCGAGACTCGTTTCCATCCCTTCTCCTCCACCCGGTCGGGAAGGGAGAAAGTCAGCGACCTGGTCGACAGTCAGCAGCGTTTCTGACAGGCGAGGGGCTTGCATGGCAACGACGTAGGCCATGGCGAGGAGAGAGAAGCTGATGGCTGACGAGACTTGTCAGAGACGCAGAGGAAACGAAGAGAAGAGAATGAGGTAGAAAGAGGAGAGGAGAAGAACAGAAGAAGGTAGAAGAGAAGGCGAGAAGAAACAAGAGGAAGAAGAGAGGAGAGGAAAGGAGAGCCATAGCAGCAGATAACACACAAGAACCAGGAAATGAGAGGAAGAGAAAGGAAGAGACAAGCTTCAAGGTCAAAGTTTAGAGGCCGGACAGTTCGTACCAGGCGCATGCAGGTCATGCGTTACGGTAAAGAGTGTGCCAACCACGAAGGGCCCAAAGGCGCGAAGGAAGGAGGAGGCGCCTTGAATCCTGAAAGCGACAAGGAGAATGAGGAGAAGAAAAGAAGCAGATGGAGGAAGAAAGAAAAAACAGAGAGGAAAGGGGGGAGAGAAAAAAGCAAGCGGGTAAAGAAGCAAAGGGAGAACGAGGGACAACTGAGACTTGGAGAGAAGACGGAGGAGGAAATAAGCAACTCACATGCCCTGTGTCATCCCCTGGATGTCAGGATGCGTCGCGTTACCTGTAGGGTTTGTGTTAACGTGAGGCAAGAGAAGGAAAGAAGAGGAGAGGAGGAGAGGAGGAGAGGAGGAGAGGAGGAGAGGAGGAGAGGAGGAGAGGAGGAGAGGAGGAGAGGAGGAGAGGAGGAGAGGAGGAGAGGAGGTAGTCAAGAAGGGGAAGATGCAATCGACACGGTAGGGAGGATGGAGGAGGACGGGAGAGAAAAGGTCGAAGGGAACTGGAAGCTAGTCGGAAGGAGCAAGTGAGCATAAGGGAATGTCTCTCACTGATAATCGTCGTGAGGACTGGAAGGCAAAACATGATCCCTGCTCCAAGAAGCGCGAGAGCTGGAGCAAGCACCGCCCATTGCATCGCCCTTGCCTCCTCTCCTTCCTCCCCTCCTGCCCCAGCTGTTGATCGGCGAAATAGTCATGGAGGCAGCGGATGCAGTAACAAGAAGCTACGAGGACCAGGATGATGATGATGATGATGATGATGATGATGATGATGATGATGATGATGATGATGGTGATGATGATGATGTGGATGACGAGGAGGAGGAGGAGGAGGAGGAGGAGGAGGAGGAGCAGCAGCAGCAAAAGGAATCACCTGCAGACAAAACTCCAAGAGAAGCCAAAATAACTTCAGTAAGCGGCAGCATGACGGAACCCAAGATCATCTGAATGAGACCCGG